TTAGCGTTCCTGAAGCATCGTTCCAGATACAGCATAACGCTACCAGCACTGGGTCCCAGCTATCATACTATGACGCAATCTTCATCCAAGTCTTTTTATTCTTGCTGCTAATCTCTGGCATATTAATTATATACTTGGTAGTATTCGGAAGTACATTAACTAGGATACATTAATAATCTAAGTTATATTGACCATGTTATAACTGTATATTTATGTTAATGTTTTAAATATTTTATGATGTTGTTGGGCATTGAATTTTGCCTCTGTAAACCGCCTTGCTCCAGCAAAGGATCACCGCCTTGTCGGGGCGCTGGAGCTTGAGCACCTCAATGATGTCATGAGCGAAACCGTGAAGGGCCACCCAAGACGGGACGGTTGTGGCAGAGAGGTCAGACCAAGCGGGATCCCTGGGGAAGGCAATGGCAAACCACTCCAGTATCCTTGCCAAGAAAACTAAATGGACCAGTACAACCAGAGATATGTCGGTATGCCATTGGAAGATGGGACTCCCAGGTCGGAAGATGGCCAAAATGCTACTGGGGAGGAGCAGAGGATAAGTTCAACTAGCCCCAGATGTGATGACGCAGCTAGCTCAAAGCCGAAAGGAAGGCTAGCGGCCGACGGTACTGGAGGTGAACGACGAATCCGATGCTCTAAAGATCAACACACCAGAGGAACCTGGAATGTAAGATATATGAGCCAGGGCAAATTGGATGTTGTTATTGGTGAGATGTCAAGACTAAAGATAGACATTCTGGGGGTCAGCGAACTGAAATGGACTGGAATGGGCCACTTCACATCAGATGACCACCAGATCTACTACTGCGGACAAGAGGAACATCGAAGAAATGGAGTAGCCTTCATAATTAATAAGAAATTAGCTAAAGCGGTGCTTGGATACAACCCAAAAAATGACAGAATGATCTCAATTCGAGTGCAAGGAAAGCCTTTCAACATTACAGTGATCCAAATATATGCCCCAACCACAGCTGCTGAAGAAGCAGAAGTAGATCAGTTCTATGAGGATCTGCAGGACCTACTGGATAATACACCAAAAAGAGACATTATATTCATTACAGGAGACTGGAATGCCAAGGTGGGAAGTCAAATGACAACTGGGATCACAGGCAAGCATGGTCTGGGAGAACAAAATGAAGCGGGACGCAGGCTGATAGAATTTTGCCAGGAAAACTCGCTGTGTATAACGAATACTCCCTTCCAACAACCTAAAAGACGGCTTTATACATGGACCTCACCAGATGGTCAACACCGAAATCAGATTGACTACATCCTTTGCAGCCAAAGGTGGCGGACATCCATCCAGTCGGTGAAAACAAGACCTGGGGCTGACTGTAGCTCAGATCACGAACTTCTTATTGCTCAATTTAGAATAAAACTAAAGAGATCAGGGAAAATACACAGACAAGTTAGATATGATCTCACTAACATTCCTAGCGAATATACAGTGGAAGTGAAGAACAGATTTGAAGGACTAGATTTAGTAAACAGAGTCCCAGAAGAACTATGGACAGAAGTCCGCGACATTGTTCAGGAGGCGGCAACAAAGTACGTTCCAAAGAAAAAGAAAACCAAGAAGGCAAAATGGTTGTCTGCTGAGACACTGGAAGTAGCCAAGAAAGGAGGAAAGCAAAAGGAAACAGTGATAAGGGGAGATATGCCCAGTTAAATGCGCAATTCCAGAGGTTAGCCAGAAGAGATAAGGAACTATTTTTAAATAAGCAATGCATGGAAGTGGAAGAAGACAACAGAATAGGCAGGACAAGAGACCTCTTCCAGAAAATTAGAAACATTGGAGGTAAATTTCAGGCAAAAATTGGTATGATAAGAAACAAAGATGGCAGGGACCTAACAGAAGCTGAAGAGAGCAAGAGAAGGTGGCGAGACTATACAGAAGATCTGTATAGGAAGGATAATAATATTGAGGATAGTTTTGACGGTGTGGTGAATGAATTAGAACCAGACATCCTGAGGAGTGAGGTTGAATGGGCCTTAAGAAGCATTGCTAACAACAAGGCAGCAGGAGACAACGGGATCCCAGCTGAACTGTTTAAAATCTTAAAAGATGATGCTGTCAAGGTGATGCATGCCATTTGCCAGCAAATATGGAAAACACAAGAATGGCCATCAGACTGGAAAAAATCAACTTATATCCCCATACCAAAAAAGGAAAATGCGAAAGACTGCTCAAACTTCCGTACAGTGGCCCTTATTTCTCATGCCAGTAAGGTAATGCTCAAGATCCTGCAAGGAAGACTCCAGCAATACATGGAGCGAGAGTTGCCAGATGTTCAAGCTGGGTTTAGAAAAGGCAGAGGAACGAGAGACCAGATTGCCAATATCCGCTGGATAAATGGAGAAAGGCAGGGAGTTTCAGAAAAACATCTATTTCTGCTTCATTGACTATTCTAAAGCCTTTGACTGTGTGGATCATAATAAATTGTGGCAAGTTCTTGGTGGGATGGGCATCCCAAGCCACCTTGTCTCTCTCCTGAGGAATCTGTACAAGGACCAAGTAGCAACAGTCAGAACTGACCAAGGAACAACAGACTGGTTCAAGATTGGGAAAGGCGTACGGCAAGGCTGCATCCTCTCACCCAACCTTTTTAACTTGTATGCAGAACACATCATGCGATGTGCGGGGCTTGATGAATGCAAAGCTGGGGTGAAAATTGCTGGAAGAAACATAACAACCTCAGATATGCAGATGACACCACTCTGATGGCCGAAAGCGAGGAGGAGCTGAGGAGCCTTCTAATCAAGGTGAAAGAAGAAAGCGCAAAAGCCGGGTTGCAGCTAAACGTCAAAAAAAACAAGATTATGGCAACAAGAATGATTGACAACTGGAAAATAGAGGGAGAAACCGTGGAGGCCGTGACAGACTTTGTATTTCTAGGTGCAAAGATTACTGCAGATGCAGACTGTAGGCAGGAAATCAGAAGACGCTTACTTCTTGGGAGGAGAGCAATGTCCAGTCTCGATAAAATAGTAAAGAGTAGAGACATCAGACTGGCAACAAAGATCCGCCTAGTCCAAGCCATGGTCTTCCCTGTAGTCACCTACGGATGTGAGAGATGGACCTTAGGGAAGGCTGAGCGAAGGAAGAGAGATGCTTTTGAACTGTGGTGTTGGAGGAAAGTTCTGAGAGTGCCTTGGACTGCGAGAAGATCCAACCAGTCCATCCTCCAGGAAATAAAGCCCGACTGCTCACTGGAGGGAAAGATACTAGAGACAAAGTTGAAGTACTTTGAATGCCACATCATGAGGAGACAGGAAAGCCTAGAGAAGACAATTATGCTGGGGAAAGTGGAAGGCAAAAGGAAGAGGGGCCTACCAAGGGCAAGATGGATGGATGGCATCCTTGAAGTGACTGGACTGACCTTGAGGGAGCTGGGGGTGGTAACGGCCGACAGGGAGCTCTGGCGTGGGCTGGTCCATGAGGTCACGAAGAGTCGGAGACGACTGAACGAATGAACAACAACAACAAACCGCCTTGAGTAGCCCATGGGCTGAGAAAGGCGGTATACAAATATAGTAAATAAATAATCTGGCAACAATGGTCCACGCTCTTGTTACATCCCGAATAGATTACTGCAACGCACTTATGTGGGCTGCCTTTGAAGACTGTTCAGAAACTTCAACTAGTCCAACGGGCTGCAGCCAGATTACTAACTGGAGCGACATACAGGGAGCATACCACTCCCTTGTTGTGTCAGATCCACTGGCTGCCGATCCGAACTCAATTCAAAGTGCTGGTTTTGACCTATAAAGCTCTATACGGTTCTGGCCCAGCTTACTTGTCTGAACGCATCTCCCTCTACGTCCCGCCTTGCAGTTGAAGATCATCCGGGGGGACCCTGCTCTCACTCCTGCCAGCATCGCAAATACGTCTGGCGGGGACGAGAGACAGGGCCTTCTCGGCTGTAGCCCCTTGCCTGAGGAACTCGCTTCCCAACGAGGTAAGATCGGCTTCATCCCTCCTGTCTTTTAGGAAGAAATTGAAGTCATGGTTCTGGGACCAGATTTTAGGACAGCAGGCATAAATAGCGCTTTGGATATGGAATTTGACTGGAATGGTGATACGGCGGTTAATACTGTTTTTATTTTTTTAATTAATGTTCCATTTATTATTTTAATTATTGTCATATTGCTTTGTTATATTTAATGGCATCAAATTGTGCCAAACGTAGCCGTCCTGAGTCCCCCTTCGGGGGTTGAGAAGGATGGGGTAAAAATGCTGGAAATAAATAAATAAATAAATAAATTGTTGAAGGCTTTCATGGCCAGAATCACTGGGTTGTTGTAGGTTTTTTCGGGCTATATGGCCATGTTCTAGAGGCATTTTCTCCTGACGTTTCACCTGCATCTATGGCAAGCATCCTCAGAGGTAGTGAGGTCTGTTGGAACTAGGAAAATTGGGTTTATATATCTGTGGAATGACCAGGGTGGGACAAAGAACTCTTGTCTGTTGGAGCTAGGTGTGAATGTTTCAACTGACCACCTTGATTGGCCTGGCAGTGCCTGGAGCAATCTTTTGTTGAGAGGTGATTAGATGTGCCTGATTGTTTCCTCTCTGTTGTTTTGCTGTTGTAATTTTAGAGTTTTTAATTTTAGCCAGATTTTAAATAAATTCCATCAGGATTCCTCTCTGGTTCAGTGCAGTTAGACGGCATTATATGAGTCCACACTGGCCATATAATGCAGTTTCAAAACGCATTATATGGCAGCTCAAATAAGAGCCGATGAGGTTCTCAAACTGTGGTCATCCAGCGGTTTTGGACTTCAACTCCCAGAGTTCCTGGCAGTGGGCCGAGGCCGCTGGGGCGTCTGGGAGTTGAAGTCCGGAAAAACTTGAATTCTTTGCACGGGATTGGATAGCGTCCCTGAGCCCGCGACCAATAGAAGCTCTCGGTGTTGTTTCGCGGACGTCGCCGCCTCCTGCGGAGAAGTGGGAGACTTTGAAAAGTGTCCAGGTCAGGAGGGGAAGTTGCGTGGCAACGGCCTCAAGGGAAGGGCGCGTTCAGTCTCTCGCGGAGGGAGGGCCTTTCTCCTCACGAGGCTGGGTGGCGGGCCCTGGCTCTGCCTTCTGCTGCTGCTGCTTCTGCCCCCGGGACAGGGCTGAGCAAGGCTCCGAGGCTGGCCTTTCTCTGGGCTTGTGCTTTCTTTGGGTTGGAAGGCGGCGGCCTGGACTGAGCTTGGCCTTCCTTTTTTTCCCAGGGGGGCATCTGCACCGTAGGATGAATGCAGTTTGACTCCACTTTAACGGCCGTGGCTAAATGGTATGCAGTCATGGGATTTGCAAGTTGAGGCACTATCCCTCTTTGAAAGAGAAGGATCAATATTACCATGGCATTGAGCTTTGGGCAGTTATGGTGATTCTGAGCTTAGAGCAGTTCCACAAAACTTTAGTAGTTCCACAAAAGATGCGCCCTCTGTTTCATTGACTAACCTCAAGTTCTGGTACTTTAAGAGAGTATGTTTCTTAGGGCCCTTCCATACAGCCATATAACCCAGAATATGAATAAAATCCCACATATTCTGCTTTGAACTGGATTATATGGAAGTGTGGACTCTGGTAACCCAGTGCAAGGCTGATATTGTGGACACTTCCATATAATCCAGTTCAAAGCAGAATATGTGGGATTTTATTCATCTGTGTGGAAGGGGCCTCAGGGCCTATATCCCAGAATATCAAGGCAGAAAATCCCCAATTATCTGCTTTGAACTGGTATATATGACAGTGTGAACTTGGATAGCCCAGTTCAAAGCAGATATTGTGGGATTTTCTGCCTTGATACTCTGGGATAAGGGCTGTGTGGAAGGGATCCAAGAATATCAAAGCAGATAACCCACAATATCTGCTTTGAACTGGATTATCTGAGTCCTCACTGCCATATAACCCAGTTCAAAGCAGATAATGAGGGATTTTACACAGTTGTCTGGGAAGCCTTCTACATAGCCATATAACCCAGAATATCAAGGCAGAAAATCCCACAATATCTGCTTTGAACTGGGTTATTTGAGTCCACACTGCCATATACTCCCATTCAAAGCAGAAATGTGGGGTTGTATTCAGCTGTGTGGAAGGGCCGTTAGTGGTGTCACACTACATTAATTCTCCTGGTGTACATGTTAACCAGGTTGCTCTTTGAGCATGGATAGTGCTGAATGGACGCTTGTGTCTTGATGTTTTTGTGTGCCTTCAAGTCCTTTCTGACCAAAGGTGATCCTATCACAATGGTTTTGGCTAGAAGCCTGCCCTTGCCTTTCTTTGAGGCTGAGAGAGTGACTGTGTGGGGATTTGAACCCTTGGGACCCTTCCACACAGCCATATAACCCAGAATATCAAGGCAGAAAATCCCACAATATCTGCTTTGAACAGGGTTATCTGAGTCCACACTGCCATCCCAGTTTAAAGCTGAAAAAGCTGGTAGGCTGTTAGGAATAGGGGAGTTGAAGTCCAAAACACCTGGAGGGCTGAAGTTTGCTTGTGCCTGATCTATACCAACCATTTAAGTGTGAAGCTAGCTTCGAATTGTGGCGGCCAGACAGCCAACTCCCACCAAAGCATGCAAAGGAAATAGTTTGAAACTGCGTTAAATGGTCAGTGTGGATGGGGCCTCAATACACATGACTATACCATGCTGTCTCCTGGAAACATGTTGCAGCACCAGAAATTGTTTTGTTTTGTTTTGATGGACTCTAGTGTTGTGAAAACTTAAGTGTTTTGTGTCTGGTAATTTCTTCTATTCATTGACTGCCTTCTCAGTTCAAAAAAGTCATACTGTTTTCAGAAAAGCATACATTCCTAATACAGCCCTGAAAATTTCGGAAACCTTTTTTTAGCTTTGTAAGAAAAACAAATGCTTCTTATGCCATACAATTCTACGTAGAAGTCTTTGCAGAGGGAAGCACCAACATCAAAAGGTCTGTAGCTTTGTAGCAGAGACATTCTGTACATGCAGTGGACCCTAGCCTCATGCACTGATACTTCCAAAATCTGGGGAATGTCTCTGTCTAAAAGCCATGTTGCAGTACTCCTATTGAAGTAGAGGATGTAGAACTACAGCCACTTAAAGAATATGGCAGCGCTCAATGAAAGGAGAAGGACAACAAAATGGTCAAAAGATTGCAGTAGCTCGATCATGATAACAGGTTATGATGTTGGGTGTTATTTGTTTAGAAAACAAGAAAAGGGAGACAGGATTTGGGAGTTATTCATTGAAATTGAGTAGCAAATGTGTGATGGGAGATAAAAGGAGGTACCCCCTGAGATGGCACAGATGGAAGATGCAGATTTGAAGTATGTGAGAGAGAAATGAAGGCAAACTTGGTAACATCCTTTGAAAGCAAAATGTGTAAAAAGGAGACATAGTAGTGGCAGTCTAAATTGCATCTTATAACAGCTGACTCTTCAAGATTGCTTACAATATCTCATACGACTAGTTTCATGCAATATAAAATCATAGACTGCAACATTGAAATCAGAAATACACTAAGGCCATGCTTTGCCCATCCCTGCGCTAAGACCATGAATTCTGTACAAGTATAAGTCCTCGGCTTATGTATACACTGAGTTTCCCTCACTATCCCCAGACACCTTAAATTTAAAGATCTGACATGTGGATTAAAATAAATTGTTTGATTTCTGACATGCTTTTTCTTAAAAAGGGATTCCTGGAATAGGAATGGGACAAATATGAAATAAGACAGAAATACTTTTGATCTAGTTTGCGATCCCAATCAAAATATTTTTCATTGACACACACGAGCAATGTTTCCAAGTAAGCAAATTTATGTGGCTGTAATGTAGATTTTATCCTTATACCAGGGCTTAAAACCTCCTTGTGTATTTCAAGAGGCATTATGGTTTAACCTTTCAGGAATATCAGTGCACCTTTTCTAAGTCGCCATCTACACAGACCATTTAATGTGGTTTGAAGCTAGCTTCAAATTGTGGCAGCCAGACAACAAACTCCCACAAAAGTGAGCTAAAGAAACCCCTTAATGTGCACCAGTACACTGTGGTTTGTGTAATCACCATCTGGGCCTCAAACCGGTTTTAGGAATTTCTATGTAATTATCTGCACAGCAAAACCACTTTATTCAATACCTGCTTGAAGGTGTATTAAATTGTCAATATAGATGGCATTGCCTGTAATAGACGCTGATTCTAAGCTCTCATGTTGAACATGCAGCATTGAATGCTCAAGGACCCTGTATAAAGGGCATCTGAGAGAACATTCTTAGTAGGAGATAGGTCACGACCCCAGAAAGCGAAAGTTTGTAGTATTTTTTTAAAGTGCATCCCAGCATCATTGAGATAAAGCGTTCTGTGGAGATAATCGGTTTTGCATCTCTTTGATTATATCTTAACTGATACTTGGCAGAACCCATGCTGGTTTTGTCACTGCTTATAAGAAACAGAACAAATGTATTTGGGTCATCATTAAGCATAAACTGTTTCAGTATTTTGTCAAATTACCAAATTTGGAAGGGTGAAAATATTTTTGTACATATATCTTAAGTATATTTAACATAATTTGTCATTTGTTATGTTACAGGGTTGAGTTTCTGTCCACTGAATACATCATCATGGCAAGTAAGAAATTGCGAAGAGCAGGTTTACCACAGAATCTTTGTGAAAGACTAAGTCGACAGCAGATCACTACTTGTCAGGTGAGTTTCTTCAACAGATAAACCAACAGCCATGAATAAAACCATCCTGAAAGTGTGATGACTTTGCCCAAGTATAGAAGAAGTAAATAATTCCTTATTTTTTAAAATGATTGTTTCAGGACTTCTTATGTCTTTCGTTATTGGAGCTGATGAAAGTGACTGGACAGAACTATTGGACAGTTCAAAAACTTCTTAACACAGTCAGCCAGTTCTGTGCTCCCAGAATGCAAACTGTGAGTATCCATTTGCAAAGTAGGAGAAGAAGTAGGAATCTAGTTGTGTGCATTTCTGTTTGACTATTGCACTTTAGATTCTCATCTATAGCAAATATGGGTTACTTCTAAATTGGTGTTTCTGCTTGAATTAACACTTTAATCAAGCTATACATTACCCAGACAGTACAACATGTCAGTGATTTCTGCAGTCCTCCAATAGTTTGAAGAATTCTGGCTGCTTTGCTGTTAAAAAGGAGGGGATGGATAATTAACCTCTTCTCCCTTGAATAGAAATTGACAGTGGGACAGATAAAAGACTCTACTCATTCATCAGTAACCTGTGCCAAGAAGCAACATATGTAAAGTCGCCTTGAGTTCCCTTCGGAGTAGAGAAAGGCGGGATATAAATAGAGTAAATAAATAAATAAACATGGGGCTGCCTACTCTGACCATTTACTTCAATTTTCAACTGGCATTGAAGAAAGTGATATCACTCTGCAGATTATTATATAGGAAATTCTGAAACAAATTTGAGTCCTACAAAGCACAACTACAGAGCAATGTGCACATTAAAGGCACACATTTTTGAACTGTATTAAATGTCTAGCTTTGAACAGTATTAAATGTCATTAATGATCTTAGTAGTGATACTTACTTGTGAGATCAATATGATAGCAAAATATCGGCTATTGGTAAGGACACTTACATGATACAGGATTATTGTGACTATGTAGAACTGTTTTAAAAAAAACTTGGTTGCTGTATTCCTGTTTTTGACATTGCAATTCCTAGGTGAACTTATCATGGGGTTTTCTTGGCAAGATTTGTTCAGGAGGAGTTTGCCTGTATTCAGAAAAGAACCTAAAAGCCCACTTTGGTTCATTTGCTTCAATAGATTTCTTTGTAAAAGCTTTGTAATTCCTCAAATAAAACTCAGCAAACCTTTCAGTGAACCCAGGTTTTTGAAATAGCTAACAGGGACAGTCAGTTTTTTTCTTAGTCTGCGGTTTCACTGTGTATTTTTTCCAGCTGTACTTAACCACAAGGATAATATTTTCTTCTGAAGTGGTAATTTGCAAATCAAGTGTTGTATTTTATCCAAAAGATGAAAAATTATTTTAAAATAAGTTTGTAGGCTTGTAAAATTGAAGACTGTTTTATAAACATGTTTTACAGACACCAGAGTCTTTAATGGTGTTTTGTGATGTTAGGTTTGGTCAGAAGGTTGGAGAAAATGTTATTAAAGGATAGAAAAGCAAATTTAGGGTCTGTATGTTTGCTTTTTGGCAAATAAGCCCTAAGCAATTCTTCGTTTGGAAAAATAAATACCAGACATTTTTCCTACCAGTTGAATGGATTATTTTTAAAAATGGATATGATTATTATAGGTTTATGAAATGAAAATGAAAAGATCCATGAATCCTTCAACAGCATTCTTGCCAACAACATTGGAAGATCTGGATAAAATTTTGCATGGTGGAATTGCCTGTGGATCTATTACAGAGGTAAAAGGTTTACATAGTGATGAACATCATTTTTGTTGGTTTAATAGAAAACAGAAGACTACTTTCTGTTCTGCACCTTGAAAAGAGTTGCTATTTATTTAGAACTTTTAAATCATAAGGCACAGATTTTTTTGATAAAGTATGGTTCATTTCAGATCTCATTACTTAATTAAAACATTTTGTCCAATAATCTTTTTCACTATAAACTAAAATATGGCCTTTCACATAAACCTCTCTATAATGTATGTTGTGAAGTGTTACCCTAGAAAGTGGGAGAAGTAGTAGTATTTTATCTGTACTTCTCTGACTTTTCTCCCAAGTAGTGTAAAATTCTTGAGAATAAACATTTGAAGAATATTCTCTGATCTGAGAGTTTCCTCTTTCTAACACTTGTTAGATATATTGTAAACAATGTTACTATTTATTAATATGTTTCTTCAATGCAGTATAAAATCCATGAACATTTCTGATTTTTAAGGGAAAATAACATGATTAAAAATTCCCTGCTGCTGGTTTAAGTTACTTTAGTGCCTTGGCATAGATGATTTCACAAATATTTGGGTCCAAACACAGACTTACAGGAAGGAAGTGCCAAGCTTTATAGAGGGTTGTGTCTGGATGTGACAATGAGCCTTTCTCCTCATTTTCCCTTTCTTTTTCAAGGACAGCTCTCAGTCTGAGTGGAGCAGCCCTGGGATCAGGGGGTGGGCAGGGTAGAGAAGCAGATAGACAGCTGAGCACTGAAGAGGGAAGGTGTATTTTTACATGGTAGCGAAAATTTGATAATATTCGGTAATGTTTTGTAAAGCATTCAAGCCATCTGGAATGTCCATTAGAGTACTGTGATATTCTAAAAAGATCTACAACTTGAATTATATAATGCAAAATTAGAAGGTTATTAAACTCATAGATAATTATTCTCAGAATATTGTCTTGAATATATTTCAAGAATATTCTTACCTGCTATCCCTAATTGCAAGTTTCTACAAATGGTTGTTGATTGCTATCATATTGACTTCATTTTATGGTGACCCTGTAAATGAATGAGAGACCTCAAAAGTCACTCTTGTCTTGCAGGGTCATGGCTTCCTTGATTGAGCTCATAGATCCGTAATGCCGTTTTCTTCTTTTCCTACTGCCTTCTACCTTACCAACCAAGCTTTTCTAGTGAGTCATGTCTTCCCATGATATGTTAGAAGTCCAACAGTACCTACTAGGCTTGATTTGCACTAGCACCCATTTATTTATAGTTTTAGCAGTTCATGGTATCTGTAGAATTCTGCTCCAACATCACATTTCAAATGAGTTGATTTTCTTCCAATCAGCTTTCTTCAGTGTCCAGCTTTCACACCCATACATAAACATTAGGAAAATGGTAATAGCACGGGCAATCCTAACACGGTTCAATTATATGTTTTTACACTTGAGGATCTTACCCTTCCAAGTCTTAATCTTCTTCTGATTTTTTGACTGTAGACTGAGGCAAGATATTTAAAATCTTGAACTATTATCATCTACTTAAACGTTATGTAAATCATCAGTGCTCATTATTTTGTTTACTTAATGTTTAATTGTAGTCTTGCCTTTGCACTTTCTCTTTTGACTTGCTTTAGTAACAGAATGAATGAACAAGACTTACGAAGTAAAGAAGACAAATTTAATTAGTGTTCAACATGTTTGATAAGACAACTCTTTTATAGAAAACTGTTTTTCAGTAATAGTCTTATTAGTATGACAAAAATCAAGATAAAATTGATGTAAATAGTATAATACATCCATTTTGGAAAAAATGTTTATTGTCATGTATATCACTCTTAATAGTACTATCATTTTTTAAAAAAAATTAATATTTTTCTGATTTAAATTTTTTAAACTACAATTTGCAGTGCAGCTGAAATGTTGGTGCAGAGTTTAATTTTGAGAGAACATTTGCAATTTAATCTCTGCTTTCATTATATATAACAGGACTACAGCTAATGTATGCACTGCTTTTTTAATTTCAAAGGAGGAATGTTTTATTTTTTACTTTTGTGGTCTTAACTAAATTGTTTTGAAAAATGTGGCTGTTCTATCTGTTTTTGGCTACTTTTTCTTAGTGTGCTATCCAACAATGATGGTGGTTGGAAAGTTGGAACTCAAATATATGAGCCATTTAAAGTAAAGATTTCAGTGGCATCGTCTCCTGCCAGATCTTGTGCATTTTCTCAAGGAGCCAGGAAACTCTACTGGCATGGACCCTTTTTTTCCAAACCACTATTGAGGTTCAAGTTAGAAATTGAATTCTGACTTTTTGTGGTCAGTCAACGCACGTCTAGAAAATAATGTACCATTTACTGAAAACGAAAAGTGCTGGTTTCCAAACAGGAAAATATGAACATTGTTATCATAGTGAGATCTCTGTTTCATGGGTGGACACCTGATTTCAAATTAAAATTGGAGTGAGATGAATTCCATGAATTTTAACAGGTTTTGGAAAAAGGCTGTTCTAGGGAGTCAGCATTTTGGGTCATCTGGTTCTGTCTTGGGTTATGATCAGGGAGAACTAAAATAAATTAAGTTATCTTCATGGAGGAGAAGGATGTTTCACTCAGGTTATTCATTCATATTGGTGAGACCTAAAAACTGCAGATGTTTGGTATAGTTGTATACAACATGTGCTCATTTATTTTGGTATAAAAAGTCCCCTTGTTGATAAAACCCTACTTCTACTGAGGAAGGATGCTTATTGAAAACGTAAGGAGATGTAGGGTGGTGTGCCATCAGTATGCCGATGACACTATACTCTGCTTCTCCTTACTTTGAAAGTATATTGGGGTTGAGCAGGTCCTGGATCAGACCCTGGATGCAGTAGTGGGTTGGATGAGGGCCTGTAAATTGAAACTGAGTCTTGATAAGATTGAAGTTGTATGGACTGGTGGTCTGTGAACTGCAAAGACAGCCCTTCCTGGATGGGTTGCACACTACCAGAAGGAAGGAGCAGGTGTGTAAGTTGGGAATGCTCTTAGATCCTTAGACATTGAGAACCCAGGTGGCCTCTGTGGCTCAATGCTTGGAGATGGATAACTCTCTCCAAACAAATATTTATAATTCTTATCAATTAGAATGCAGAATGCTTTTTGATGGCCTGTTCTTTAAAAAGTCAACAGAACTACTTTTATCTATATATCCTGCTCCTTTCAGAATCTCACCCAATCAGAATTCTTCTTACAGAAAAGAGGATAGGATGTTGTCATGAGCTTTATGCAGGCATACTTCATTTGGAACATTCCCCCCTTATCTCACATGCTCACATCTGTCCTTGTTCCTCCTCTTCTTCCACTTCTTGTGTTCTAACCATTTGTGCCAGTTTCTCGCTCTCATAGCAGTTCCATCAGCCGTCTTAACACCAGGTTCTGTATTTTGACGAGTTCCAGTTTTCAACAGTTATTTGGTCCTCTAACCTGTTAAATCAGCGAGGGACACCTGTACACAGTTGTAGCTTACATGGCATCACAAATGAATGTTGAAATGATAGCAAAGATTTTGCCGTTTGTGTAAAATCATTACGATACTTTTAAATGTTTGTGGTTTTTTTCATTAGATAACTGGTCCATCAGGTTGTGGCAAAACTCAGTTTTGCATTATGATGAGCTTGTTGGCCACATTACCCACCAGCATGGGAGGACTCAGTGGAACTGTTATATACATCGATACAGAATCTGCATTCAGTGCTGAGAGGTATGACTTGAAAAAAGAAGAGGGAGAAAGAGAGTGGTTTAACCTTTGTATAATGTTCTTCATTACATATGTCTGCCACCCTAAGTTTAGTTATATACTATAGTGTCGCTACTTCCTCCCCATTACGCTTTAGTTTTCTGTTCTCCCAAATATGCCCATAGTCTAGAAATTAATGTTCCATAAGTAACACGAATCTATTGTCAGTTGCTGCTGTATGTAGTGAGAGAAAGCACAATGGCCTGCAGATATAATGCTTGAGTTTATGTCTGTTCTGGCTAATTGCACATGGTGACGGGTCTTAGAGCCTATGTAAGATGGGGTCTTGTATAGCTTCGTTACCTATGCTGTTGGTGTAAGGGATGTCTTAGTACAATGCAGACATTATTGAAATGTCACTTTGTCTACATCATTGCTGCCATATTTTTCATATGCTTTCACATAATATCCCCCATTTCTCTGGTTTTACGTTTGAGTTAATTAGGAAACTCATCCTTTAAAAAGTGCACTTAAATTGATCATCTTGAGATTATTTTATTTTATTCAGAGATTATTTATTATTTACAGAGTAAAATAAAAAGTAGAAGTCATATCTGCGTCATATCATATAGCAAAAAGCAATAATGTATTCTCCAGTGTTGGAATACAAAGGAGTATTTGAGTAACCTTTTTCTATTGCTGTATTTTTGTTTGGTTCATGAGTAAAATGCTACTAAATAGCGTTTCCACATGCTATAGAAAGCGGGGAGAGGAATGTAGCTCCATGGTAAGGCATCTGTTTCATATGAGGAAGATCCCATCATTACTAGATATTCCTCTTCTTATTGTGTTTATTTATATCCTGAGTTTTCTCCTCACAAGGGGCCTTAAAGCGGCTTACATTTCAATACAATTTAAAATCTAAAAAATATACAAACATTAAAACAACATTAAATATAAATGGTATTAAAAATTCAGTTAAAATCCAAAAATATTTAAACCACAGCTAAAACCATACCACTCCCTGATTAGATCTCTTGAAGATCTCAGGGCCTGGAAAGGTTTGCACAAGGAGATGTGGTCAGTCAAATAGCTGGACCTTAGCTGTATAGGGCTTTAAAGGTCATAACCAGCACTTTGAATTACACCTAGAAGCAAACTGGCAGCTAGTGATGCTGCTGCAATGGGGGTTGTCTGTTCCCTGCAGCCATTTCCAGTTTGTAACCTGGATGCAGCTCTTTGGACCAGCTGAAGTTTCCGAGCACTCTTCATAGGCAGCCCCACGCAGAACACTTTACATTTATCCAGATGAGATGTAGCTAAGACATGTGCCACCCTTATTCTATGAAAGAGCTCTTTTTTGGGAAAGGGATGTCTTAGGGTCCTTCCACATAGTCATATAACCCAAGGCAGAAAATCCCACAATATCTGCTTTGAACCGGGTTACCTGAGTCCACACTGCTATGTATTCTAGTTCGAAGCAGATAATGTGGGATTTTATGCAGCTGTGTGGAAGGGGCCTTAGTTCAAAGCAGATAATGTGGATTTTATACAGCTGTGTCAAAGGGGCCTTAGAGAAAATGGGATGGTGACTTCGAGCAGCAGCCCCAAGTTCCCCAAACTGTGTATTAGAAACTGTAGCAAAGAGTTTTCCTATTCTCTTTAGAAGCCAATGGGCAGAGTTGTTTTTTAATACTTCATGAAAGGTGCTGATGTAGTTTTTGTGACTTGATTCAAGATTTGTGCAGAGAGATCTGGGGAAATGATCAAATTGCTCTGTACACCTCAATATCATGTCACTGTTTTGGTTTGTTTTGCTACCTTCTTTCATTTGTTATCAGTAATTCTGCAAATAAATGCAAAGGTTTAGAAAACATGATTGAATTCAGATTCATATCTTCTCTCAATAATGTGTCTTCTGGGCTCTGAACAGGCTTATTGAAATAGCACAACATCGTTTCCCTCATTATTTTGCATCAGAAGAAAAGCTGATATCAATGTCCAGTAGTATCTATCTTTATCGGGAACTTACCTGTGATAGTGTACTAAAAAGGTAAGAGTTCTTTCTTGGGAGCAACAAGATATGAACTGCATAAAATATTTTGTACAGAATACTGAAGTTACTGGTCAGAGAGATCCCTCCTAGTTCTCCCCCCCTTCCCAGAAATAAAGCCACCTGAGACTAGCTTTTTATTTTTATTTGTAACTTCAGGAATATTTCAGTTTTGCCTTTCTGTGATGTTACTGTATGCTTGTTGCTTTTGCATCCCCACAGGTTGTTTCCAGGTTGGGGCCCCCTGTCACAGATTTTTCTTGGCAAGATGTGGTCAGAGTATGTTTGCTATTACCTGAGTAGGCCCAGGGTGGGCCAACCCAGTCAGTTTTGGACCATGAATTTAAAATGTACATAATATGACTATTGTATTTTAATCTGTGTTCCATGTAATTTAATATTTGCATTTTATAAAAATGTGTTTTGATAGACGCATTTTATTGAATTGATTTTTGATCAAGTATTTTAACTGTGTTGTGTGTGCCCCACTTGAAGCTGTGAGGAGAGGCAGTTAACAATTACTATTACTATTACCTTTCTTTGAGGCTGAGAGAGTATGACTTGTCCAAGGTGACCCAGTGTGGTGTACTTGTTTGAGCACAGGTTTGAAGATCAGAATTTGAATCCCTGCTCAGTCATTAAAATCCACTGGGTGACTTTGGGCAATGGCAAACTTCCTCTGAAGAAATCTTGCCAAGGAAATCCCATGGTAGGATTGCCATGAATCAGAACAACTTACGTTATACATGCATACGATTTAGGAGTATTGGGGCTGTCACATGTTAAGATCACACTTTCTCTGGTAGATCCCATGACCCTCTTTTTGTATGGAGTTTCTGGAACATCATATTTGGTTGGCAACCAGGAGAGTGTGTGTGCTTTGCATGTATACTACTGTGTGTGTACACTTAGGGCTCCAGTTACCAGTGTTCAGGAACCATATATGTAGTTCCAAAAGAAATAGAGAAGGCCCCTGAGAAAACTCTGTTACTATCATGTTCAGTTTAGCATCTGACATATTTTTATTTAATCTGTCATGTAGTGTCCCCATTAAAGCAACACTTTTATTTCTTTTCAGGATTGAATCCTTGGAAGAGGAAATTATTTCTAAGAATGTTAAACTAGTAATATTAGACTCTGTTGCTTCTGTGGTCAGAAAGGAATTTGATACAAAACTTCAAGGGAATCTGAGAGAAAGGACCAACTTGTTGACTAAAGAGGCATCAATATTGAAGTACTTGGCTGAAGAATTTTCAATACCAGTAAGTTTCTCCCCCTTCCTCTGTTCTGGTGGTATGATTGCAACATCAACAATTAGCACTGTATCTTGCCAAATATAAAGGCATTTAAGTTAAGCTAACCAGGGGATTGGCATCTTTTGCTCTCATTCCTTAAAAATTATTATTTTTCTGCTTTTTAATGTTGTGTTAATTATATGTTCAGCATAAATTAGTGTTTTTGGCAAAAATAAGTTTATAGAGTATGCTACTGGTTACAGCACAATGGAACATTCATAGTAAGGGTCATGTTTAATCCATATGTGATATTTCATAATCTTTCACCATATTGTTCCATTTAATTTAAATGCGAACACATTTAGCAAAGTTTGTATTTTTGTTTTTGTATTTTTTCCATGATGGTCAATGAAACGCAACTGAGTTGCTTCTGACAAAGATAATCTTTTTCATCCTTCAATTGATCTCTTTTTTAATTCCATGTTTAAAGTATTTAAAGGTTCCTGGGAACCATATAAATATAAGACCAAGTTAAATGATTACTGTATATATTACTCATGAATAAGTCTAGAAATTTTAGACCTGCTCCTGACTTATACATGAGGCTGACTTATGCATGAGTATATATGATAATTGTTTTATATGGAAGGCTTCTTGGATAGGGAGTGTTTGACATTGTGGTAGAAATCCAATAGCAAGGGAGCAACATAGATCTTTAGGTGAGAATGTCAAACATTGGAGTGGAAAAAAATAAAATAAAGTAATTCCCTTTAAGAATGGAAAGAGTCAGAGATGCTTGGCAGTGGTGGGGAATATTTCAAAAAGTTATCACACTTCTACACACAATATTTATTGGGCCAACTAAAAAGCATAAATTCATCATGCTACTTGTGATGTAAGTTTTTATCTCCTGTGGTCCCACAAGAGACTAAGGAAATGGCCCTAGAGTTCAATTGCTGAAGGTAAGCATGTTTGGTAGTTTAACTTGTTCAGAGACTGCTCTGAAATCCTTAGAGGAGAAGCAACTAATGGCATAATAAATAAAATAACCATAATATATTCCTTAGGTTTTTGTTTTGTTTTTTTTTTAAAAAAACAACAACGGAGAATTGAATCTGCATTAAAATAAATCATTGCTTGTATGCGACTTTTGTTATATCTAACAAGATTTTTTTTAAAGAACAGAATGGCTGCCAATATGACCTAATTTTTAATATCAAGTGTGGGAAGCATATTTTAAAAAGTGTTCTAGAGAGTTCTGCTTCACCTATGGACACTTTTGTCTTTGACTTCTCTGGTTTTTGTAAGCTGTCACTTCAGTTAGTCATTCATTTTGAGCTAGAAAAATGGACCATTCAAACATGGAGGCCGTTAGATTCATTTTATTTTTATAATCTATTGAAAACTTTGACAGATTTCTTTAAAAGCAGAAACATTCTGAATCCATGTCTAAAAATCTGTGTGCAAATGTAATGGCCCAGACCATTGCACACAATGATAACTGCTTAAATAGATATTTTAAAAGAAGCCAGAAAAATTGTTTTCGAAAGAGTCTGGAACCTCTTTTCACATTCAGAACAAACCTGATGAAGTTCCCTGGCGAAGGTGAAGGTTATTCAGTTTGTTTTGGAAGATGTTAATATCTCTGTCTGTTAGGTATTACATTTCAGTTGATTAAAACTGTAAACTTGAGTTCTGGGGAACAGCCCAAAGATCCTGCCCTTTGGCCTTGCTTAAGAACATGGAGACAGGATGCTAAGAAGCATGAAGCTTTTAATGTTTTCCAGAGATGCTAAATGAATGGAAAAGACATAGTGGTATTTATTTTAGTAGTGCATCTCTTTATATCTTAACCCTGTGTACACCATGGGAAACATACTTCACAGGAGATCAAGCAATCACTATTAAGTTTATAGAGCCTCTGTAGGTGCATCTCAACTGTGGCATTAATGCAGTTTGTTACCATTTTAACTGTCATGGCTCAATGTTGTGGAATCGTGGGAGTGGTAGTTTGGTGAATCCTATGATTCCATAGCATTGAGCCATGGCAGTTAATGTGGTGTCAAACTGCATTATTTCTACAGTGTAGATGCATCTTGGATGATGTACGTTGCCATTTTGAGTTGTTCTGTCCAGTTTCTGTAAGCTGACTGTGCATGCTGTCATGAAGGCTTGAGTGGAAAAGCAGCTGTTCTAATTAAATGGATTCATCATTAACATGTCCCTCTTACCAACCAGTTTGTTTTTATGCCTATTGAGTGTTGATTTATTTTTCTTTGCCCTAACAGGTAATTAAAATCTGTGACTTCCAGAAGTATAGTGTAAGGTTTTCAAAATAGCTAGCTTCTTTTTTAAAAAAAGAAGCAAATTTTGCCATAACAGTCAGTAACACTGAAAAATTGGGTTGGCAAGAAAGTTATATTGCTGCCTTTTAGAAATAGCATTTTATATTCATTCAGAGAGGCTCAGGGTTTTCCCCGCTTTTTCCTTTAATCCCAGCATTCTGCACTCCTGGGCCAATGCTGAATGACCTTTAGCCTAAATAAATAATAGAAGTTCACCATGTAAATATTTCTAAAATGGCTACAGTATTACTTTTTTGCAATGTAAGTTTTACTTTGAAAAGCTATCATGGTTAAATTTCTTGTGTAACTATTTTCAATAACTCTATGTGCTTTATTATGACTAATTCAAGAATATACATTTCTCCAGTTTATGGTGTGATACAGTATTCCTTCGGGAATAGTCATGCTTGTAAAAATTTATTGCTGTTGAGAAAGGTAATGAAAATGGCTAGCATGATTGATTTCAGTAAAACAGAGAAAGGGATAGGAGGGCAACTGGTTTTAAGGTAATACAGTGATGAAGAAAGTTGTGTCTGTTTTTATCATCGGGATGCTAACTTTCCCCCATTACTAACTATGGGGCTGGATCATAGAATAATAAAATTGAAAGATATCACATGGCCCATCTAGTCCAAACTTTTGCCATGTAGGCAAAACACAATAAAAGTACCCCTGACAGATGGTCATCCAGCCTCTGTTTAAAAGCTTCCAAGGAATGAGCTTCCACCACACTCCAAGGCAGAAAGTTCCACTGCTGAACAGCTCTTACCGTCAGGAAGTTCTTCCTAATGCTCAAGTGGAATTTCCTCTCCTGTAATTTGAACTCATTGTTCTGCGTCCTAGCTTTCAGGGCAGCAGAAAATAAGCCTGTACTTGGTCCAATGATACAGCTGGTCTTAGGACATGGGAAGAAATCACACTCTGACATGACTGAAATACTTATTTTAATGGTTGCTGAACGTAACCTTTAAAAAAATCTACCACGATTGAAAGCAAACTTCAGGAAGATGAAAAGATGTAATAATTTCCTACTTGCAGAAATATAAAATTACTGCCCTTGAACATAATTTTATGTTATTACAACTGTTCAGATATTTTGTTTGGTGTATTGTTCTGTCCTGTTCAAATGTTTTGTTTTGCTTTTGAAGGGTCAGCTGGGAAGTTTTTTCAGATCTCCTACTTCATACTGTAATAATTAGACAACACATTCTGATATATCATAAGAAGCTATTTTGATATGTGTTCAGAATGGCAAGGGTGGTAGATGTTTGGCTATTGGAAGTTATATGTATAGAAGGTCTAAGGCAGGGGTCCTCAAACTTTTTAAACAGAGGGCCAGGTCACAGTCCCTCAAACTGTTGGAGGGCCAGATTATAATATGAAAAAAATTGAATGAATTCCTATGTACACTGCACATATCTTATTTGTAGTGCAAAAAAAAACCACTTAAAAACAATACAATAATTAAAATGAACAATTTTAATAAATATAAACTTATTAGTATTTCAGTGGGAAGTGTGGGCTTCTTTTCGATGATGAGATAGGATTATTGTTGTTGTGTGCTTTCAAGTCGTTTCAGACTTAGGTTGAACCTGAGCGAGGGCCGGGTAAATGACCTTGGAGGGCCATATCTGGCCCCTGGCCTTAGTTTGAAGACCCCTGGTCTAAGGGATAGCCAAAACAATCATTTGCATTTTGGCTCATGATGTTCATAAGACAATAAGGCAATGCATGGGAAAGCTATGCGATTAAGGAAATTGAAGAACTTCTGCTTTGTATGTTTTTTTAGCCTGTTCCTGGTGTTATTTGGAGTGCTGATTCAAAAATTGGATAGACTGTATCAGCTCTAATGTCTTAGATTTGGTTATCATTATTCTTTATGGGCAAGCAGATTAAGACTGGTATAGGGCATACAGTATGTTCTGTATCTCTAGAGTTGGTAAGACAAAACTAGTGCCATTTTTGGAATCATCAGGTCAAATATACCGGAAACAGGACTAACATTTGAGGCATCAAAATGTATGTTGTCCAGTATTATCTTTTCTTCTTCTGATCTGTGATGGGTAGGTGGTCTTGACACCAAGCTATGTGTTTTGCTTGTGTCATGGATTGGTGCAGATTGGAAAGCAAGCACTTTTATCTCCCACCTTTCTCCCAATACGGATACATGAAGCAGCTCATAGCATTTTTAAAAAATGCAGTGCAAAGTTGCCATGGCATTGAAGAGTTTTACTTAACAGAAACATCTTATTTTTTGTTGTGGCTCTGTCTTCCCATAACAGATGAACAGACTTAATATCCATCCGTTAGTGTGTTTGTAAATGAAAGATTATTTAGAATTGCCATTTTCAATCTGATGCCCACGAGACAAACTTCATCAGCCCTGTATACATCAGGGATGATGGGAATTGTCTCTTTAAAACATCTGGAATACAGATTGGAGAGAGCTGTCTTGAACAACTTGTGTCAATATCTTACAAAATTCTGTGCATGAACAGGAAACTGGAGTAGAGGTCAATTGGGGTGATGATACACTAAATACAGTTGGTAAAATTTCACATAGAAGTTTATTGTTGGACATGGTGAAAATTATTTCCAGGAAAAACAATGGTCTGTTTGTGATCTTTAGAGCAAAAGGGCTTCATGCGGCTTGAGTGCTCCCTCTCAGAAGTATTAGACAGG